CAATGGTCGTAATGTCACCAGAAGCAAAAGCTTCGCTTTTAAAGCTCCTCAAGAAAATTTCAATATTCAGGATTTCGAACTTGGCAAGATCTATGGCGTTGGTTCTTACTCCAAGGTTTCAATTTTTAAAACTTTCTTCGATTTGTTTGGCAATGTGGGTTCGAATCTGGGTTTGATCTGTTTAGCCAATTTGAGTGTATTTGGATTCAATTTTTTCAGTTTGTGTTTTTTGCTCTGTGAATGATTCAAATCAGGTTGTTAGGGCAAAGAAGAAGGAAACTGGAACTGTGTATGCGTTAAAGATTATGGACAAAAAATTCATCACCAAGGAGAATAAAACAGCTTATGTGAAACTAGAGAGGATTGTTCTTGATCAACTTGAACATCCTGGGATTATCAAACTTTTCTTCACATTTCAAGACTCATTCTCATTATGTAGGTATTTCTAATTCATATGCTTGAACAAAGTGTCTGGACTTGAATCCTTTTCGTCTTAACGATATGCTTTTTGGTAGATATGGCACTTGAATCTTGTGAGGGTGGTGAGCTTTTCGATCAAATAACCAGAGTAAGAGGATCTCAGAAGAGATTGATTCTTGGTGATTGATTTGATAGTGTGGGGATTTGATAAACCATCATGGTTCCTTCTTGTGTTTTTTGTGCAGAAAGGTCGGTTATCGGAGGATGAAGCTCGGTTCTACACTGCAGAAGTTGTTGATGCTCTTGAGTATATACATAATATGGGACTGATTCATCGAGATATTAAGGTAAATCCTCTTTTGAATATCTTCTTTTTTTATAGCCCCAACAATGGAAGAGTGCTAAGTATTTTTCTTGAAATGGTAGCCGGAGAATCTGTTGCTGACTTCAGACGGGCACATTAAGATTGCGGATTTCGGTAGTGTAAAGCCGATGCAAGATAGCCAGATCACATTACTTCCTAATGCAGCTTCTGGTATTATGACCGTCCAGAATCCTTTTTGATATTTCTGAGCTTAAGGTCTTATCGATAATTATTGTCAGATTCTGGTTTAAGCCCTGTCTCTGTAAACTGGTGACGTATACAGACGATAAGGCGTGCACTTTTGTCGGGACTGCTGCATATGTTCCTCCAGAAGTTCTCAACTCCTCTCCCGCAACTTTGGGGTAAGAAGTTTTGGTTTCATAATTAGCCTTTGTTTTGTGGATTACAAATGCATGTTTCTTACTCTGAGGAAAACCATTCAAACAGAAATGATCTCTGGGCTCTCGGCTGCACTCTCTACCAAATGCTTTCAGGGACTTCGCCATTCAAAGATGCAAGTGAATGGCTTATTTTCCAAAGAATTATAGCCAGAGATATAAAGTTCCCAAATCATTTTTCGGAAGCAGCGAGGGACCTCATCGACCGGTTGCTGGTAAGCTACATCAAAAGCCTTTGTCACTAATCAAATGATAAGGCAGTAACTCTTATACTGTGAGGTTCTCTCAGGATACAGATCCAAGTCGAAGACCAGGTGCTGGGTCAGAAGGTTATGCTGCTCTTAAGAGGCATCCTTTCTTTACGGGAGTTGACTGGAAGAATCTAAGGTCCCAGACTCCTCCAAAACTAGCCCCAGATCCTGCGGTACGACTCCTCATATACTCCAAAATTGTGATGCACCTTATTACTACTGTTTTGTTCGTTTCTTGATTCAGTTCTTATGCAGTCTCAGACAGCATCTCCTGAGAGGGATGACGCACACGGTTCTTCATGGAACCCGACACATATTGGAGATTCTTCAGCCACACATAATGATGGACACGGTGCTCCTTCGACATCTTCTGAATCATCGGGTTCCATAACACGGCTTGCTTCAATAGACTCTTTTGATTCGAGATGGTACAGGCACTCACTCAGGCTTTCTTTTTTCCACTGTTTTCTGAGAAACATCCCTGTTTTAAAGCTTCTGAAACTAGAATCCAGGTAGAACAATGTGCTAAGGTTTTTTCTGACCATTTGGTTAACAGGCAACAGTTTCTGGAGCCGGGGGAATCGGTTCTGATGATATCAGCCGTGAAGAAGCTTCAAAAAATAACGAGCAAGAAGGTGCAGCTGATACTTACCAACAAACCCAAGCTGATCTACGTCGACCCGTCAAAGCTAGTTGTAAAAGGGAACATTATCTGGTCTGATAACTCAAATGACCTCAACGTTCTAGTCACTAGCCCTTCCCATTTCAAGATTTGCACGGTACTCATCGTTTCCTCAATCTATTTCTCTTCCAAACACGATGAAACTTAAATTGTGACTCTTCTTGAATTCTGCAGCCAAAGAAGGTTTTATCGTTTGAAGACGCGAAACAGAGAGCTTCAGTGTGGAAAAAGGCTATCGAGACTCTTCAGAACCGATGAGACAAACGTCATTGAAGAATGGTTTCAGTTAATTCTCCGTTTTGTTTTGTTTTCTTTCTCTCTAAAGATTGAAACTGACCAAACTCCACTCTTCAGATGTTTTCTATCATACCCAACCTTGAAAAGACCACTTTCCACATTTCCATAACTTGACACACAAAAGAGACAGATAATGAAAAAAACTGCTTTTTGAATCCTTGATTTCCTTCAAATAGGTCAAAACAAATGTATTTCGAATTTAAAGTACAAACAAACAAAGTATGTGAAAACAAAAAAAGGAGGAGACTTTTTGGATTTTGCTAGGCATTGGTCTCTTTGACCGCAAGAGGTTCATACCATCGAGGGCCAAATCCTGCAGCTTCTCTTGCTTGTGCATTAAAAGGCGGTTTCAACAGTCCTCTGAAATGCTCCCTAACTACCGAATGAAACTTGTCAATTATCTCTTCATTGTTGTCATCTGATTCTTTGCTGTTGATGGTGAATTCCGGATGCTTGGACCGCTCACATAGATACTTGAACCATTTTACTCCAGCTGCACAGTGAGTGATTTCTTCAGGGTACACAACCTTCTCCAGTAAATCTGCTGTCTCCTCATCGCCTCCATTCCTAAACCGGGATATCGTGGTGGGCAATACATCAAGCCCCCTAGCCTGCAAATGGTATAAAGGGAACACCTTTGTTATTAAGTGAGAGACGCGAAAAGACCTTTTTCTTCATACAGAACAGAGAGCGAAAGAGAGAATCAAAATGGACTAAGTCGACGCTATGTTTAACCAACAATAACCCGAATAATGGAAAGACTGACATCAAGATGGTTTCAACTCAAGAAATCTTTCTCACCTCGTGAACACAATGCTCTATAGCCAAACGCGCCAAAAGATCCTGAGATGTAGCGGTTGCAGAGTCCCAAAGACCGTCATGAGCAGGCAATGCACCGTAAAGAGAACCGAGTTCCTTAAGCCTAGCTGCAAGCAAAGTGAAATGACGGCCTTCGTCCTGAGCTACTCGAACAAAATCCGTAAAGAAGTCTCTCGGCATCTTCTCTTGCTTGCCAAAACGAGCAATTATATCCTACATTAACATAATCATTCCCCAGAAATCATCAAAACTGCATTTAAACAGTTCACATTCCACTACACAAAACTACTCACAATCAAAATCCTTGTATCCATTTACAATCAATTTAGACCTAAACCCAGAATATCAACAGTGATAAAAAGACGTACCCAGGATAAGTCAACTGCCCAGCTTTCAATATGAACAAGACTATGAACAATCGCTTGCCTGCTTTGTAAGCTACCAGCTTTTCCCAGTTTCGGCATCAAACTCGGAGACACCAATTTAACCTACACGAATCAATCAAAAACCAGATCTTCTTCTCAACCATTTTTCGTAAATAGATGTAACTGAACAGAGACAAAAGAAGAAATCGAAAGAGAAGAGATAGTACGTTGGTGAGACGAGCCGGCTTGTCCGGGACGGGGAGATCGACGGTGGGATCGTAGGGTTCGGTGATGGCACCTTCGAGCCATTTGACGGCAATCGAATCGCCAAGACGGGCTTTTTCGTACGGATCGGATGTGTTAAGAACCCTAATCGCCGATTCAATTAGGGTTTCGCTCTCCATTTTTCCTCGTGGATTCGCTGGCGAGGTTGATGGCCGCCACGTGCTGGAAATAAAAGTTTGTGTTTGACTAAATTTTCCACGCGCATATACGGCGAGTGGAGAACACGGAATCGCCGAACAGAAAATAAAGTAATCGATGTTTTTTTACCGTCCGATTAGTTTTTCACGCGCATAGTTTATGCATTGATTTTTTTTTTTATGGGTTAATCTTTCAATAGTCAATTTTTTTTTTTAATAATTAAGCAAGTAACTAAAATGGTCTAATGTAATTCTAGCCAAATAATAGCTTTTACATTTAGAGGTAGGTGAGACAATCTTGGCCATTAAATTTAGATTTTTTAGTTAGTTTTTAAATTATATATATTTTTTTGTATTAATGACCAATTATCCCTTTTATTTATGATAGACTGTACTGTCTAAATTTCATTACTCTCTCATCTTTAAACATTTCTGCGCTTCTACTAGAAACCAGGCTCACTGGTGTGATACCAAGTTTACTTTACTGGAAGGCACTGTCTATGTAACGCCCGTGAACCAAAATGTGTATTTTTGGTTGGTGCGTCGATTGACACA